AGATGAAATTTGAAATTTCATCGCTGGTTATATTATCAAATTGTTATTATTCGTTCTTTTAAACGTTGTAGTCAAGGATATTAGATGTGTGAGCGATATGTGCTAAAATGTTGAGAGCCTAGAGGTTCACTTTATTATACACTGGAGGCTAAATTAGGACAGTTAATACTAATGTTTATTAGACACCACTCCTTGTTAATTACAAATAATGGGTATTATAAAACCATATTAATCAACGAACCCATATTGGATTTTTTAATCTATGTCAACAATATATCATCTTTTTCGTAATTGCTATTTATTTATAATTTTATCAGAAGAAAAGAATAGGCAGATATAGTAAGAGATACGTTATCTCTCACTATGTGGAAGTGAATTGAGAGGAGACAATTTTGATACTCTAAAGCTCTCTCGTACTCTTTCTCTACTATCAAACAAATAACAGATCTATGATCAAATCTTATTTATTTGATAATAAATCTAATACTTATGTCATTGACTATGTCTGAGGTATATTATTCTGGATGGATATAAAATGTACTTTGTAGTTGCGACAAGCCGTTACTATTAATTTCAACATGATGATATAGTAACATCTATTTGTATACCGTTACGTCAATGCTTCGTTACAAAATTAATGTTCAAGTAATTGAGGAATAATAACGGGATGTAAAATTATGGTTTTTCAATTCACATTTTAAAATTCTATGAAATTTACGTTTATTATCCTTGAATGAATTCAAAGTAAAATACTTAGAATTTTACGCGAATATCACTACAGAGTGAATCTCGATTTAAATTCTTGATACTGCCAAAGGATTGCAATGAAGGAATTTAGGAAATTTACATTTGAACATCTACAGGCGCGCTATTACAAGCGCTCAAGAAAATTTGTATTTCTGTAGCGGTTGACCTAAATGCGGGACTTTATGATTGCACTATTGACAAAATCTACGATTCATATTTATTATGTGTCTATTTACCTGCTATTTGATTTAGTATAATTATCGTATTAAATAAATATTTTACTGGTCTTTACTGACCTTGCACAATATCGTCTGCATGGGTATCGGTCTTACCTATTTCACTGCTAACCACCTTGCTTTGTAAGAGGTGTTATCACGAGCTGAGAGTTTACTGATAATAACGTTATTAAAACAAATATTTTATTTTTTTATATGTTTGCCTTACCTGTTTGCCTGTACAGGTAAAAATTAAAAAAAATATTCAATTGATTTTAAACATTCCTTCACCTATTGATATTTACATATGGCTATGTTCCACTTAGACAGCGTCATGAGATGTAACTACTGAAATAATGTTGATTTATAATAACGTAATGCAAACCATTACGAAGTATAAGTAGCCGACACGTGAATGGTCTGCCGGTCACGAATGCAGCTCACTATAATGAGAATCCTTATCTACTAAAATACGAGGCTTTGGTTACCGTCTATGATAATACCTACTACACATAATTTACTGTACTTAAATTCAAATGTACAGCCTGTTGTTTATTTAGAACTTACCTATTTTGGTTTGAAATTTTTGAGTAACACGGATTTATATATACCATACTGAAAGTCAGAGACGATTATAAAAAAAATATGTGCATAAGTGACAATAGAAATTTTTATTTACAGTTTTTATTGTATCAAATATTGAAAATAATTAAAACTATATATTTACATTGCTACAAAAGTCGGTCGTATCGCTAAACAATATCTTCTGGCTAACCTTTGGGTAAAAAAAGAAAATGGTTCAAAGGTAGATAACGCACTGAACATAAATAAGTGGAATAATATATGTACTAATATAACTACAAGGACCTATATTTAATAGTACAACATATTTTTAGAAATAATGAAGGAAAAAGGGACCGTGAGACAAAAAAAGACAATTAGAACTTAAAGGTAAATAAAATAGGATTAGATCCATATCCAAAGAATAGGATAAGATTCTTTATATAATAGTTTTTCAACCATATTATGTGAATAGTTGTATCTATATAGACTTGTATATACTGTAGTACCACTATATAGCATGGAAAGTGGTTTTAAATATCAAGCAAGAGGAATAATAGAAACAAAGCCAGGTTAGTAAACTTGATAATAGCAGGCTAAATATTATTCCTTTTCTTATAAGAACATGACAAAAATATAATCTATATAATTTCTTATATTGTAGAAATATTGAAACCATCATTTTCCAGACATAGGTACTTAAGATTATGAATAAATGACAAGCAAGTAGGACGATACACTTAGCCTCTCCTGACATCTGCCAAGAACATAAATTGTATTACGCACCTGTAAGTATGTAGATTACTTAGATAAAGAGATTTAATATACGCTTCCTTCGCGAGAACCTGATTTACGACTGGCTCCGGAATATGCACTTTAGTTTGATTTGTGATGTGGAAAGGAGAGATTGCATTTACTTTTAGAATAGAAAGAACTAAATAGATTTTTATAATAACTTAATTATGCTCACGACTGTAATCTAAGATTAAGAGTTTTTAATCTATTACTTTTTTATTATATTATGATAATAATCTAAGATTAAGAGGTTTTCAATACAATTATATAAGAGAGTTGTTAGAAGTATCAATTTTTTGCCGATGTTGTGGTAAATAAACTCTCAAGAATATTTCAGATAATCGAATTCTTTTAATTTGATCAGGTTATATACAAATTTAATATTTAAGGTTCTAAGAACACTAATTAGATAGCAATGCAGTTTATAATACAATAGAAGTTTTTACTTAATTATTACTTATTATTAATTTGTGTAACTAAAATGAGCCGTAGTTCTACCTGATATGGTAAAGGGTAACCATTGCCTTTATACATGAAGATTATACGGTATTATATCATCGGGTGACGCTTGTGATAATTATCGGTCGCCATGGTGCGACTGACGTACCCACGGAAATAACTATATGTAGAACTATATACAGAGTATGCTCATTCAATGAAATTAAATATTCTATAAAATATTAAAATAAATATTTAAAAATTATAATATTCTACTAGCGTACCATCCACTATTTGTAATAGTCATAAATATCTATTAAAAACCATAGCAAGCAAAACCAAATAACGGTGTCAAATCATAATATTACAACTAGAAAAGGTGCTGAAGGTAATTAAGGTAAATGTTGCGAGTTAATTTTTTTAACATTGACTAGGACTAGACCTACTATTCATAATAAAAATGAATTGTAAACAATAAGGCACTAATACTAATTTTATACAATAATCTCTTGTTTTGTATTTTAAAAAACTTATTATTGCCAACAAATACTGTTTTCCAACTGAAATCAGAACAGACAGTTATTACTGAAGTTTATTATCATCGTTCAAGTTGACATTACACAAAAGTCGCATTAGCCTATAGAACTAAAACTTTTGCCTCCATGTTCAACTTTAATATTCATTATTCAGGAAAAGTTTATTGTATTTTCAAATGTATTATTGGTTTCCTTAAGGTGTATTATTTTATACATTTAAATAGTGTGCAATAATATAATCCAAATAGCAATTTCTAATAAATATATGGGTACTAGTGATTAGAGAATGTGGTGAGTTTTTAAACATACTTTTAGATAGAGAAACAATGTCACAGTAAAAAAATGTTAAGTCTACTGTGAAGGTTTGCTCTAAGTCTAAACCTTAATTTATATATGTAAATGCAGTTTCTTATTTAGTGTGTGATACACAAAGTTTAAAGCTATCAAAAAGAGAACACGAACACATATATTAATAGCTTAGATTTATTGAATACATTTAAAAAGTATATTATAATACGAAATATTGAGATATTTATTAGTAATCAATTTTGTATTTTCATTGTGTTTTTATAAGAACCAATAATAGCTTTAATTTTAATTAGAATTAAAACAAACTCTAAAACAGGACCTGACTGCCAGCCTTCTCAACTAATTGGAGAGGCACTCAAGTCAAGAACGATGATAAATTTATTTTAATTGAAAAGATCGTTTTATGGAAATTACAATTTTTGTTAACGAGATTGTTTATATAATTATTAACGCAGAAATTAACTAGTTATATAAACGACATATTAATGTCAAAGTATGAATTTATTAAATTCTATCTAAGCTTAATTGTTACTAATAACAATGAATAAATATGGAAAAATATATTTGTATTCATAATCTAGGTAACAAAGACGGGGAAACGAAACAACAATACCTCTGATTACACTAATTTGAAGTGCCCACAGTATTGAGGATATTATTTTCTATTTCCTACATTTATTTTCAATCGTATTATCATTTTTGCAGCTACTAGCGATATCATATCCATTAAATATATTACTTATTCTCTTGTCTCTTGTCAGCGGAAAATCATATAAAAGAATATTATATTATAATCGTCATAATCAGTAATACGTACAAAAATAACTATGTATTAAAAATACTTTTGTGTTGCAAGAAATAAGACTCAAAATGGAACGAAATAAAAGTAAGAGTACACTTTTACGAATAACGTAGATGTTATCTCGTATCGATTATGGTATTTTCGTCAGTACAAAACACAATGGAGTTTCGTATATTTTACCATAATTTGTGATTTACCCTTTGTAATTTTGATAACTTTGTTGATTGAATTGTGGATTGTAGATTTGATTCATTTATAACTGTGAGTGTTTTAGCAAATTCTAACTTAGCACAATAATTAAGTATGTTTATTAAAAATAAATGTATTTATAATACAATTTTTTTGTTTCGTTTCGCAAACATGTTTTCATAAGCAAGTAGTATAAAATTATGCCTTGATTAGATGTCTACAGAATATTGATTGACTGAAAATTTAAAAATATATATCTTAGTTACTCGTTTACTTTTTACTTAGTTTAAAAATATATATTTTACTACCATTTCAGCATTACCAATTTCCTTTATCTTCACACAATTCGGCAATGAACTGATACTGAATAAATATTGAATCATCTAATTTTAGATCTCTTTGTTACAGGTACCGGACCCATGGATTAACCTGCCAAAAGAAGATGTTGTGACAAATATATTACCCTGCATAATAATTGAGGGCTTACAAAAATGTGTTCCATAAAAAGCTTCGATAATGTAACTAGTAATAGAATCTTTCTGTTCATTATTGTGCTATTATCCCTTAAATTGTGCAGTCCTCAGGACTTGAACGAAGAATTTGTAAACGAGGACAGTGTTGATTCTATACCGGATGTGGATATGGTTGTGTCAGTGAAAAAAGTGAAAACAAGAGACGTTGTGGGTCCATGTAGACTAAGTGAATTACTTTGTGATACAGGGCAGTGTATTTCATTGGATAAGTATTGTAATGGTGATGATGATTGCGGTGATAAGAGCGATGAACCTATATCATGCACACGTAAGTATCTTATATAACGTAATATATTACACGCAATTCACATATAAATATTTTACACTTACATATTGATACTACAGTCGAAGAGGTGACGCTTCCTGTGATTTGCAAATGTAAGAATTTTTAGCTTTTTAACTTTATATTTTCATCTATTCTGTGGCAGAAAATATTCATACAAACGAACAATACATTATATAGCTGTTTTTATTATTTCATAATTATTGCAAAAGATAAACATTGTAATTATATATTGATGATAATTACGTTATTCAACTGTCAATAATATTGACAACTGATTAACGTAATGATCGACAATGAAGTGTTCGGTTCGTAATTAATTAAGTATGACTAGGAAAAAATTTGGATAGTTATAAAAATTAAGGAATTTTCATGGATCTACACTGAATACGTATATCATTATAAGGATATACTACAGTACGCGGCTTTGTATATATACATTACATATAATACCAATATACATATTTGAGAATGTAGCCACAATACAAAGAGTCGACCGGATATTGTATAAGTACATAATATCCTAGTAATCCCTTTTTAACAAGAAAATGGACAGCTCATTCATGTCCGGGAAAGAGTCGTTTTTAGGTCATTGAAACGCATTTTTAATATGTCTCCCCTTCTCTCGGTTGCCTGACATCTGTCACAAAAGAAAAAGGTACTCAGAGGTTAGGTTTGGTAAGGCCATAAAACGATAGTAATTGGCGCCAATATAATTGAAAAATACTTTTTACATAACATTTCTCCGTTGAAATTCTATTAAGTCAAAAAAACTACAATTAGCACATTTCAAATATATCTTATTTTGTTTTCTAAAAATAAAACAATTTAACAACCAACAATTACTAATTCAGTTGTATAACGAATTCTAAAAGTAATAGTAATATTAAAAATTATCGCATTATTTTTTTAGTTGCGACACTATATAAGCATAGACTAAATATAGTAACGCATAGTTACAGTGAAGCAATAATATCAATAGAACATTATAACAATACAAAGTTGAAAGAACGATTGATTTTCTTAGTCTTTATTCGATCAAAGCGCTATTATTAAGCATTTTATTTATGCATTTGTAAAATTTGATACCAACTTATTACGAATAAAAAAACAATAAATACAAATGTGCATGGCAATAGTTCATACACGATATTTTCACTTAATGTTAGACATAGACACCTACATAAGTAAACAAAGTAAATAAATTGGCTTTTAAAAAAATAAACAGTTAACTTTCTTGCAAGTTCTTCTCAACTGAATTTGTGTACTGTACTGGACTGTAAGGAAAAAACATTAATACTAAAAATTTACGTTCATAAGCGGCTAAAATGTCCTACATGAATAAATTTTATTGTACTTGATTTGAATAACCCCCTTTAATATATATTTTATGAGGATTTATATTATATAATATGTATTAGATCTAGTCCAGTGTTGTAATATACAATTTTTATATTATATAGTTTTATATGTCATAAAACTGAGAATGTCCGCTGGTTTGATGGCTTCACCCTCAAGCGGGGCATGGCGGCCCGAGTAGCTGTGTCAGCGGTGGACATAGTTGGCTTCCTTTGCCTTTTATGTAATATTCATCCCCTGAAGTTATGCCGGGGCTCGCCTAAAACATATTATACTAGATGTTTATGGATTTACGTAATCGAGTAAATACCAACTTGCTAGTGAATTCTGTGGTTACTTGATAGTAGATGGAAATTGCATGTCACAAGCCATGTATGTTAAATATATGTAATATATTTAACCAAAGTTTTTTCTATCAGCCTCGGTTCTCTAGCATTTTAACATGTCACTTTACTTCTGATGGTCGCGGGTTCGGGTATGATGATTTGTATTCGTCTAGGTGTTTTCTATATACATTATGTAGGTATTTACAGAAAAATGTATCTGTGTATTTTATTAGTTATCTAGTAACAATAACATTTTGCTTAGTTTGTAACTGGATGGCGCTGTGTATAGTTTTCTGAGATATATGTAATATTATTAAATTTTACTAGAGATAGATTTTAAAAGGTGTAGATTAGGCAGTGATATTACAAGATGCTGAGTCACGCTCCCTAGTACCACAGATATCACCAACTATCTGGTACTCACAATTCCAGTTACCCAAATAAAGTATCAGAATAAATTAATACTAAATACTTAATAGCATTGTCATAAATCCATCTCAAGTAAATATACAGTAAAATATACCTTAACCACGTTTCCATCAGACTCCCTAACCGCTTTTATTTCTCGTAAATACGTCTTTGCCCAGAAAATGTCCGGAACGATAATTGTCTTATACAAAAGACCTCGAGTATGTCCTCACAAAGGGATTGAAAGAACCAGATTACACTCAGTTTCTACAATTTTTCCTCTCTCGAGTAACAGGGCATTATACGGTGAAGACAGCAAATTTGATGACGTAAGTTGTTTTATTATTAGGTATCTAGTTGTTTATGTGATACTATTCTGACACCGTAACCTCTGAATTTTGTTTGTTACTAGCGACCCAAACCGGTTTCGGTTTATTATTTTAATTAAATTACATAAAACCTTAACGAATTATGCACCAAAACCATCTTCAGAAATCACATCATATAGTGTGGTCAATACCAGGATCAATATCCTTGAAGAACTATTAGTACAAATAGTTATTCTGTGTTTCGATTTATTGTTTTGTGTATCATTTACAGTTCCTATATAAATGTAAGTAACGTTTATAGAAAATAGGGCTCCATTTTTACCGTATATAGTTATTGGTGTGCGTGGTAACTATAATTTATATACATACATATGTACAAAATTGTATAAGTATTTATACAATTTTAATTACATATGTATATATGTATATTTAATTTGTAAAGGTGGACCGAAGATCTGGTTAAGATCGCTGGAAAGCATTGGATGCGAGCAACGCAGCACTGATCGTAGTGGAGATTTTTGAGGGAGGCCTTTGTTCAGGATTGGATGTCTTTTGGGCCGAAATGATATCATATAAATTGTTTTTAGATATTACTTTTTGTATATTAAATGATTATGTGTTTTTTTCCTACTTTATGGTCCGAATTTAAAATGCTTAGAGTTTGATTTCTAATTATTTATTCTTATAAACATTTATTTTACTAACATTATGTTATGGTGTATATAATTAATTATTAGAAATTATTTGTGAAAAAATAAACTCGTATAATTCTATTGAAATTGTTTACTGGAGAAAATCACGTGTCAGGTGGTTTAGACGGAATGGAAATTGCTCATTTGTAAGCCATGAGAGAAGGGGAATTTGCTGAGTGGTGTAATCCACGAACATTTTCTAAGAATCGATTGAATGAAATCGAGACATTCCAGGATTTTATCCATTATGGTAATGAAATAACCCAAATAGTGAGTGTTTATCTGTACTGCAGAGATAGTTTTTGCTATTGACATGTTACGTTTATTACACATAGTTACGTTTATTATTTTGACAGCCTTGGTGATGTAGTGGTTGGCGCATCTCCCAATGCTTGCGGGTTCGGTTTCTATTTAAATGTAATATTTTTTTATCTGCATATTATGTACAGGTGTTATATTACGCTATGTTTTATTTATAAACAGATATATTATTCTAGGTGTTTCTATGTATTATTTCTTACTAATATTATAAACATGAAAGTTTGATGGATGTTTGTTTGAAGAAATGAAGAGACCAGAAAAATGTCTGTATAGAACCTAAAAAAATATTATTATAATAAAAAATGCATTACATATTATTCTATTTATTGCCTAACGGACAAAATGTTCTAGACCTACTCACTAAACTCAAACAATATACCTCTTTAATTATTGCTACAACGAGCCATCTCCTTTATCGTTCCCACGTAGGTGGTCATTAACCCAAAATATAGCTGCAATTAACAAAAAAACCCACGTTCCGTTTAATAAGGTGTTAAGTTTACGCTGTTGGTGTTTACAAAATGGACTAGCATTTGTCACGAAGGCTTTGTCGAGATAGAGAATTCTGTCGGGTATTTTTAACCGTTATACTCGTATATTTTTAACCGATTATAATAAAGGATATTCATATTCCCATTGTGATTTTTTGTATATCATACAATATATGTCTAAACTGAACAGATTATAATTTTTTTTAGATATAGGGTACCTGGTAATATACCACTGGGCTTGTTTATGTTATATATTCGTTGTTGTAGTTGTTTTTAACATGCAATATTTGTGTGTACTGTTGAATAAATAAAATAAATATTTACTCGCGTATAGTAACCCTTAAGGAAGATGTAGCAGTAGAAATACCTAATTACAATTGTATTAATGTGTCTGCAGCGCCGCTACTCTAGTTTGCAGATAATTAGTGCAACACTAGCGACTAGCAAGTCTGTTTCTATATACGACAACAAACAAACTTTCTAATACTCGACATTAGCTGGATACTCGTACATATTAGGTACAAAGAGTATTTCCGATTCAGTTTGTAATTCTAATATTTACTCTATATGCTGCTGTTTATTGTGCTACTGGATACGGCAATTTGCTTTTATTTGAATTTTCTGTAATAGTACTTTATTATTGTTGAAGTACATAAATAAATAAAAAATATCTGTTCCTTATATTAGGGTTTAGTCTATCTACTGATACCATGTCCACATCGCCAACGCCGTAGATTTATTCTCTCTTCTAAAATACGTGCTCTTTTTTATATACTCTTGGACAATTCAAATAGCACTAAGTCAGTCCTAAGTTAAGTAGAGCTTTTGTTATGGCTATTAAACTACTGATATAAATATACATATTTATATGTATAGATACTTTTGTTTTGTAAATACATTCACAATATATATATAAATAGAAATACCCTTTAACCTTGAAGTGTTTACACAGTGTCCAAAAATCGGTGGCGGCAGTCAGGTATGTATCTAATAGTCACTTTTAGGGACTGAAAGTGACTATTAGATAAATAAATACCTACCTACCTATACGTGGCCTTG